CCTATGATCTACAACTCCGGGATCACCAAGCGGACCAAGAAAACCTGCAGTCCCATATCGGCTTCGTTCTAGCCTGTTTCCTCGACCAGGCTGAAATGAATACCGCTGCTCAATGAACTGCATACCCAAGACGAATCACCTCAAATGTGACGTCACGGGGCTGTCCAAAAACTGAAGCATGTCAGGTCAATGGTGGCACGGCACTGCCATACTCAGTTTGTTAGCACACCCGGCACTGTTCTATTCCTCCCCTCAACCGTGTCCTCTTGCCTACTCGTTTCATTGACCCCAACGACCACCATGACATTCATTCCAACCTATTGGACTACTCGTTCAAATTCAACCACCTCTGTGTCCCCATCAAACCTAAACCCTACACCTGACGTCCCAGCAACAGAGCAACTAGTGAGTCTGTTCTCAGATTGCACCATACTTTTGAGACTGAACTTGCCGTGTTCTCCCAATTCGAATTAGCCCATCTCCACCTCCACTTTTTCTTGTTATGACTCCGGCCATTTACCCAACCGCCCAAGGTCACTCATGGCCAGCAATTGTTGTCCAGTTTTAGTTCATGTCAGCCAACTGAGTCACTGAATTACTCGGACCTTATGCCTATTGTTCCCTACAAGTTGCAAAAGAAACATATTATTATTGTTTAATCGAGTACCTCCCACTGTGTGTGACATTGTCCCCTTTTCGTGCAGTCACCACTACCCGCAAATCCTTCAGCCATGCCCCATTCTGGCTGTAAACGCATGATCATGCCAGACGGCATGCCACCCACAAGTTGGGAATAAACATTATCATTATCATTATCAACATCTCATTTTGACGCCCTGTTTGGCTGTTATTTACTACATGCATCCAAAGGATTCCAAAACGCACCAGAAAACTACCTGCCATCTTACATAGGTTTCGTTCTACCTCTGTATATTTCTTTGGCCAACCTAAATCCCACACATTATTCCGACTATAGAGTTAGCCAGAATATTATCCCATTGGAGGTAAATAACAACTTTCAGTTAATTCTGATAACAAGTTAAAACAAAAGTTGTTGTAGGCGTGTGTTGCCCGTAAAAGGGGTTACATCAAACAAACTAGCTGCCAAAGGAACACCCGGAGAAATCCACTATTCAGAAATAATCTATACTTCAAACGTGGCGTCTTCGAGAACACCAGCCTTCCAAAGATCACTTTTAGCCGCTGTGTACCGATGAGTAAACCGGAACGGTCAATTTGTTCACAGGAAAAAACCAAGCAAACTAGCGGTTAAAGTAGCGTCACGTGGCAGTGGCGAGCTTACAGCCTAATGTGACAGCGAACGTTCCGAGCAAAAGAGGCCAAGTGCCTCAGCTAAATTAAGAAAACTGTGGCTTGCTGGTTCATGCTGATGAGTGTGTTATCCGTGGGCCATGGCTCGAAGCCGTTTTCCGCTACTCACATTTCTCCGCTTTTCATCCCAACAGACAAATGGCTGGGTCCACACTGGTTAATTTTATTTCGAGATTTCAGGGCAATCCCGCATGACGAGGCCGTCATGGCACACAGATCCAGAAACAACTAGCACATGAAATAGAAATATTTGCGTCACTTTGCGCCGAAAGAAACCCTGCCGTGTCAGCATCCACCGCCAGCTCAGAGTCACTGGAGTATCATACTTTCCACCTTTGCAGAGAATGTGTATCGCTTTGTGGCTTTTTGACCTAAGCACATATCTCACCAAGTGTTAATAAAACCCTCCAACGGGGCATGGATTCTGCTACCGCCCACGAACCCGGAACTCATACATAATAATAATAATGTTTATTCCCAACTTGTAGGCGGCATACCGTCTGGCATGATCATAGTTTTACAGTCAGAGTGAAGCATGACTGGGTGATCTGGAGATAGTGCGGATTTCGCGAAAAGAAGACAATGTCATAAACAGTGGGGAATATCCGATGAGCTAATAATAAGAGGTTTCTTTCCCAACTTGTAGGGAACAATGGGCATGAGGTCCGACTAGTTCAAAGACATGACAGGCTGACATGAACTAAAACTGAAAACCATCGCTCGACATGGGTGATCTTGAGCGGTTTTGTAAACGGCCGGAGTCACAACGAGCAAAAGTGGGGATGGAGATGGAATGATCCGAATTGGGATCAAATGGCGCGTTTGGTCTCAAAGCCGTGGATCAATCTGAAACTAAGCAGACTCACTGGTTGCACTGTTGTGGGTAGTCAGATGCAGGGGGTAGGTTGGACAGGGGCAAGGTGCTAATACATAGGGCGGCCCGAACACCGTATACGGATTTGAACTTGTGGAGGAGGCAAGCCGAAATTGTAACATAAAAACCAGGCTAGCCATACTTGAGCGGAAATCCACTGGGTACGAAAGAGCTCGTCCCAGAGACGGGGCCAGATGAAGAATGTGCTCGCAGTTGCGGCTACAGGTTTCAGTGGGCGACGGGGTGCAGTGGAGATTCTGAAGAAAATAGTTGCGAGATTGCCACCTGACTGGGTACGACAGTGCCATGCCACCATTGCACTGACATGCTTCGGTCTATGGACAGTTCCGTAACGGTCGTTATGGATGCCGCGATCGAAGAGGGGACGCGCATTACCGTCGCAGCTGGATCTTGGTTAGATGAGGAGATTGACACAGAGTCAAGCAGATGCAAGGTCACAAATGCTGTACCTTTCGTCGGAGGACCGTGTGAGTGTAGACCGAGAACCAGCCAGATTAAATGAATAACAGTTCTACGGGGCGTTAGGGCAACTGCAGTCGAGATTTGAAGCTTGGGAAAAGGGGCAACGAGGAAGAAATAGAATGGAAGCAGTAGCGTGCGGCGAGCGTCAGGAGTCATAGGATACAACGGTGTCGGCAGAAAAATTCTAAAAGGGGATAATAGCAAGCTACATTGACCCAGGAAAGGTGAACACGTTCGCTGATCTAGAAACCAAGTACCAGTTGGGCCAGAGTGGGTGCTTAGTTTTGGGGAGGTGCGAACTTTGTCGTCGAGGTAGCTAGAGGGGAGGCTAGGTTTTGGACTAGTTGGAACGGACATAAGTTTTTGGCTTACCAAAGAATCATGACATAGGGTCTCCGTTGTACAAGTAAGAAGCGGACAGGCAACAAAATCTCTAGATAATGGATAAGAATCGTGGCTTAACTGAGATCTACTGTGTAAACCTAAGAGGAAAGTAAGGATCAACAGCTATCGAGTCACTGCTGTCAGCTCCAGAAAACAAACAGTGCATAACAAAAAGCAGATATTAGGTGCTGGCTATGACTGCTTGTAATCAGGAAATAACAAGTTATTTGCATTTTGTGCACATGATTGCTTTAGATGACAAGAAGGAGGAACTTGTGTGCTGTTTGGATGATGAAGTGGACTTGCGGTGGTGTGACCCAACTAAGATGAAGGTGGCAACTCCTTGCACGCCAACGTTAACCGTGAGCCCCACACACTACTCTCAGGCTGCCCCATGCATTTATTCATACATTCATATATTCAGCCGTTCAGACGTATCAGAAATGCGTATCTTACTCGGCACACTTAAGATGGGATAAGTTTCAGCAGAGGAGATATAAATGACCGTTCTCCAGAAAATTCAGAGCGTTGACTCGGTGTTCCTTCTAAAAAGTAAGCAGGCAGTCGAATGGGCCGTTAGCTTCCCAGGGGAATTTCCGGTCTTCAAGGAGAGATTCAAACTTTTCTCCTACAACAGAACTGCAGGGGAAGGAAAGTAGACCGGCATTCCGTAAAATAGCAAACCGCTGTAAATAATAAACCCACCAGTAGAATATGCGAAAAACGGCACCGATACTCGACCCATCGGGGGTAAATGCACGCTCAATTACATAAAACTTTGCTTAGGAGACAAACCAACCGCCTTCTTATTGACAGACAGAAACGAGGAACCCACGACAGTCCAATAGTGACATCCGAAGCCTACAAAGAACACCACACATCTCTGCGAAGAAGTCATCTAAGAACTCATCAAAGAACTCATCACAAACACATTCTGAAGTTTCCATAATAAACCACTCCAGTATCAACACCTTTGTGTCCCCAACAAATCACTGGTTCCTCCAAAAGCGCCCGTGCGCCACGAACGTGCTCTTATTTACGCACAGCTTAGCTCAAGCCAACGACAAACTACTTATATTGGAGGTCATTTTTTCGGCTTCTCATAAGCATTCAATCGAGTCCCATATGTTATATTGTTCCACAAGCTCGTGTTTTACGAAATTCAAGGAGAAATTTTACGCTGGGCTAATGCGTTCTCATCTGGCAGAATATTATGAATAAAGGTGGATTCGAACAACTATTATCAGGTGACTGCCTCCAGTAGAGCTAATTGAGTTAATTGAAGCTCCGTCTTGGGGACATGCCCGATCTGGTTTACATCAGCGATCTTCCAGATGCGCCATCAAATCTGTGTCTGCGGACCACCTGAAACCCTGGAGTTTTCACGCCAGTGTCAACCGAATGGATATATAATCCTCAAATCAGTGGAAAGTGGAACGATATTTTCCTCTCGGCCACTCGGCTCTCTGAGCGAAGGTCATGTGTAGTATCCGGATGATGAAAAGTGCGTCCATGTGTCGTTCAGAGGAGACTTGACGACGTCTTTGTTGCGTACTGTGAGGATGAGCCAGAAGACATCGCGAGGATAGATGCCAAAACTATTTGGGTCCGGTTCCCTTCAAACATGTTCTTTTCACTGCACCATGAGAAAAAAGTGATTCGGCGGATCATTCTTCCGTGCATAGACTTCTAGATATCCGACGAGGCGTACGCCGGACGGCTTCTTGAGTACGCACAGCAAGTCGTCCGCTCTGAAAGCAATAAAATCAACCCTCGTTGAGCGTGTCCAACGAGCTGCTGCGAAAATTGTTGCCGGTCTTAAATCCGTGGTCCATGAAATGAGTCTTGCTGTGCTTGACCTCTATTTCGTGCAGTATCGCCGCATCCAAGGAGACTTACTTACTTGTGCCTGTGTGAACGAGGTTCAGGCCAAAAGGTTTTTCATTGTTGACCCCTGTAGCGCACGACATGGACGTAGTAAGTAGAATTTCAAGCTCAGAGCGCGCATCTTTACAACGTGAGAGTTTTTCTCATTTTGGGCACCAGGTACGTCAAGTATTTCTCCTCCGGCGGTTTTTAGAGCTGCACACGATACCCAGGTCAAGGCGATTTTAGGCGCTTTCCCGTGAGGTCTTGCGCAAGCAAGCACATGCCCCCGAACTGAGAGCATAAAGAGCGCTTTGCTGAGTTGGACGAGGAGGATGTGGACTTGCATTGGAAACGGAAATTCACTCGATAGGGACATGAGGATAAACGGAAGTTACTTGTGTCTCAACCTTTGGGTGAATGATGTATTGGCTTTTCCCATTACCCCAGAAGAGGATGACAACCGATCAGACTAGTTTTACACGGGGTGCGCCCCGGTAACTAAGGCTGAAGAAGTCGCCTCACAAAAGGACAATCTTCGGTCAGTCTGCGGTTCTTTGGGGTGCGCTCCAACATCGGTGGACAGCAGAGATTTATCAGAAGACAACGGCGCTCATTCGCATTGCGGGTTTTTGGGGTGCGCTCTGAAAACCACCTGTGAACAGACCGTTCCACCCACTACGGGTGCAGGGTTCTATGGCGAGCCCGTATATCCGTCAGTGGAAGTGACGCATATGGGTGTTATCCACTTCCAGACAGTTTCCACACAGTGCCTCAGGTTCATGAAGTTGCTGGCCTGGAAAAAGCGTCTCGACGCCTGGCGCAGCGGCTTTTCAATTTGTGTGTGCTATACGACATGACTTAATTCGGACAGTCGCTCGTGGACTATATCATGCCAACTTTGAGCTTTGTCCAGCAATACTCACCTACAAGGCAGTGTTTTCTCAATTTACGTATTAGTATTTGCCAAGTAGGTATATAGCCAGAACTCAGCACACGGTAATCATACTACCTCTGCGCATTTGCTTACTCAAGGCGCTTCACTCAGTATACCATGATAAGTGTTCACATTTACCCTTATCCTGTTGCATAGTATTTCATGGAGGAGTTATGGTGAAGAGTATTGAATCAAACTTGACCTTATGATAATTCACCCATTCATTTATTTACTCCGCCTATGTACTCTTGAGCTACAGTTGTTTGCTTATTCGTACACGCCACTCACTTTGCCGCAGAGGCCGTCCTTTCCGACACTAGTGTATTGACATGTTTGTCCGTGTGTGAATGTGCGCTGTTGACCCACTTACCCATGCGTGTTCATACCCCGTTTTCTGAGCCTGCCTTGACTTGTTTTTAGTGTGTTCCGCGTGATTGCACGTCATATGAGAAACACGAGACCGTCGTCGGAAAGAACGACCGCAACTCGCGCTGCTGAGCCATCATTCCGCTCGCCGTTGTTTGGTGTGCGGACGTTGACACCACACTGTGCCGGTCAGTGATAGACCTATGAACTTGTTGGCGCTACGCACGTGAACAATTAGGGTTTGTCGTACACATTTGCTCACCACTGTGCAAATATACCGTAGAATTACGTACCCAAGTCTTCCTTTTGATATTCGGGATTGTAGAAAGTACGCGTCACCCAAAGCTCCGTATCGGGAACCTCAAGAGAGGGATTTTCAACAATTCACGGATTGATACACGGAATCAAGGCATTTGCCCAAGTTTCCCGGATCGGTTTTGCTCTTGTCGGTCAGTGGCTGTCGTTCGCCTGAAAGGCACAAGTGAAAAAAGTGTGTAGCACTGCTTTCCAATCAATTGGAAAATGTTTGGGACCGATTGGGAAGTCATCGTTTCAGAGGATTTTGGTAAACAATCGGTGGATTTATTGCTGGGCAACGTTTCGCTCTTGACACAAAAGCTTCGTCAGGCCAAGTGAGTAAGTAAGTAGGTTGATTGGGTTTTAAGGCAGTCAGGGAACCAATCGGTGAGATTCCTTATGACTAGTGACGTGATTAGTGCTGAGTGTTCAGTCTGATGTCCCTGTTTGTTGATTAGTGCGATGAATAAGCTTTACGATGGATCGGTTAGGGGGTTCGTCTTTATGATGAACCCGGATTTTTTCGTCCCTGCTTCTTCAGTCTAGGACACCTAAATGGAAAATTCCTCTTGGGGTCGTTCACAGATTTCGTTCACCTGTGTTCGTCCAAGGGGCTGGGACAGTTAGTTTGGGGACGGGGTGGGCTGGTTAACTGGCTCTAACACTATTTGGATTTTGTACTTTTAGACCCAGACGGTGTCGCTGATAACTGCAAACCGCCTTGTGTCACCTAAGACCGCTCTCCACACGTTTGCAAGTTCTACCCCCTCTATTCTCTTCACACTGGGATGCTTGGCGATTTCCACCGCCTCGGCCACCAGTCGCTGTGGTGTGAATCTTAAACCCCGTCTCAGGATGTCCACATTTTCTAAATCTATCCTATGTCCAGTGTCTAGAGCATGCCCTGTCATTGCTGAATCTCTGACTAACGCCTGGTATTCCTCTGCGTTTCTCGGTGGTTTGTTAATGGAACGCTTATGCTCACCGATTCTGGTGTGCAATTCCCTGGCTGTCTGACC